GAAGATCGTGGGTTATTCATAAAGACCCATGCCTTTTGCCGAATTCCCCTCTGCCACCCGGAAGATGAACAATACTGACTCTCGTCAACGTGCTCCAACGCCCCTTCCTCCGTCTTTCTCCAGCTTCCTCAACGCCTCCAACGTAGTCGTCCACGAGCTGTAGTTTGTCCAGCAACACCCTTCAATCTCATCCTCCCCACGCCCCAAAACGCCAGTTCAGTTTTCACTGACGCTCACACAGCCAGGCAGGGAGGTGCAGCTCCCCGTGCGAAGGTAGTTCAATATCGCCGAAGATCAGGGTCTGATTCCCCACATGAGTACAATTTAGAAGCCAATTTCTGGTGTCCCCTGTCGTGATATTGTTGAATATTGCTAAAAGCGCTGTAAAACCAAACTCAGACTCAGACATATTGATGGTACATATTGTATGTTGATCATTTATGTTTTGTTGTCTTTTCGCTATCGAGCATTAAATCGGCTGCCAAGTTGCCTTTTGGACGTTAGTTTATATGGTTCACTGGATATATATTTATTATCAATCATTAAACATTAGTCGGAGGGGGATCTAGGGTTTTTCAAACGGGTTATTGTGTGACAAATACTATTATATTGATAGACAGTACATATTGATGATACATATTGTACCATTTATGTTGATCATTAATGTTTTGTTGTTTTTTAGCTTTCGAGCTTCAAATCGGCTTTCTTTTGGGCGTTAGTTTATATTTTTCACTGAATATCCCCCAAAAAGGAAACGCATAGGCGTTTTGTATTTTTAAAAAATCCATTAATTACCTATTGTGTTCAAACAATCGTCAAAATATGTAGCAAAAGTGTTGATAAGATGATTTTACACAATACCACAAGTAAATAATAGACTTTACCTGAAAAATGTTGTTTTGATGAGAATTATGTCTCATTATCTCCTACGTAGTACTTAGTATCTCCTACGTAGGACTTAGCATCTCCTCCTACGTAGTACTTAGTATCCCCTACGTAGTACTTAGTATCTCCTACGTAGGACTTAGTATCTCCTACGACAAGAGACTTAGTTTCTCTAACGTAGGACTTAGTATCTCCTACAGAGGTTATAGTATCTCCTACGTAGGACTTAGTATCTCCTATGTAGGACTTAGTATTTAGTATCTCCTACGTAGTACTTAGTATCTCCTACGTAGTACTTAGTACTTAGTATCTCCTACGTAGAACTAGTACTTAGTATCTCCTACGTGGGAACTTAGTATCATCTCCTACGTAGTACTTAGTATCTCCTACGTGAGGTATTAGTATCTCCTACGTAGTAGTCTATTTAGGGTATCTCTTACGTAGTACTTGAGTATCTCTTTACGTAGTAACTTAGTATCTCCTACGCATATTAAGTCCTACGTTAGAGATATTAAGTCCTATGTAGGAGATATTAAGTCCTACGTAGGCGATAGTCAGACTAAAATATATTTTAAAACTTTGTACCCTACTACGCTTCTTTATAAAAGTACTTGTATTCCAAGCAATATTCAAAAAGCCAAAGAAGGGATGCGGTTATACGCAGTATTAGTAATTAACAAGCGTTGGCTCGTCACGCCGAATAACCGGGTTCGATTCTATAAATGGGCACAATATTTTAAGCCCATTTCTGGTGTCAAAACAGTGATATTGCTGGAATATTGCTAAAAGCATTGAATAAAACCAAACTCAGTCAGTCAAAACCTCCAAAATAGGCCTGGGTTGAGTATCCAGGGTTAAAATGATCTTTGATCTTACAATGTTAGACATGATATGAGATAGCTGAGGAGACTGGCGTCAATTTAAATGAATCCAAAAGCTTCCAGAACTTTCTCTAACTCTCTGGGTAAAACTGGAACAATCCGGAATAGGCCTGGGAATATTCAGACCGACAATTTCTTTGTTGCTAGGCAACCACTGTAAAGGATTCATACGCTATTTAATCACATCCAAGTATTAATGATCGCTCAGTAGTCCCCGTCAAGTATCCACGAGCTTATGGTAATTATAATGAAGCATTAATTGTTGCAAGGTTATCGTCAAGTATTCACAGACGATAATTAATCACTGTCAAGCATTGACGAGCGTTAGGTTATCGCTGTCAAATATTGACGGCAGGGACATAATGGCTTTCATGCTTTCACTAGGTAATCCTCGTCAAGCATGTATCCGTCAAAGATATTTTGATAATTGTTTATCATATCTACAGTATCTGATTGTTATTAGCAACACTCAATCCTCAAATAGGACACCAACTGTGCCAACCTCATGTGTATCCAACAAACGGTATGAAACACAATTATAGGCTACTGATTTAATCATAAAACCAAATGACCATGCTTCAGCATACATCTATTTAAGTCATCACGATATGGCTGAGATATTGCCGATGTGACGTTAAATAATAACTCACTCACTCACTCTATAAAAGAGACCCGTGAAGACCAGATTTGGTGAAACCTTTGTCTTAAACTGTTGTGTGTATTGCTGTTTTGAATATATTGTTAGATATATTTATGGAATGCACACCATTGTGAATGACTCCTTTGTGGCATAAAATATATCCAGTTTTGTTATACACTAAACACCAAAAGAAACGTTACCCTCCTACCGTTATGAATAACTGAGAAACTATCAAAGATATTTTAGAACGTATTAGTTTACAAGAAAGCTTAACAACACAGCTTTATGCAAATCACGAAAAACATTTCTCAAATGCATTCATATATTTAGTGAAATGCATCTTTTTCAGAAGAGTTAAATTGTCCTATTTTCGTCCATGCCGAAATAAACCAATAACAGTGATTTAGACGTCCAATAAAATTGAAATAAAATTCTGCTTTGAAAAGGTAAACCATTTAAACTCACCATTTTTCAACTATTAAATCAAGAAACAACTATTGTAGAGTGCGTAAAATTGTAAAATAATCATTCCTATGATTTCAGTCTTATAAAACATTTTCTGCTGATTTGCATTAGTGAAAACAAGTAAAACGTCTTTGATATTGTGAAAAAATGTTTAGGAACATCTAAAATTATGTTTGTTAACATTTTTGTTTGTAAAATAACATTTTTCCATTTTCTGTTTACACAGAGCAATATCAATCGCCAAAACGCAGCAATTTTTAAGCAGTATTTGCATCCATTTCAAATATAGAATGATTCTATAGGATATGAAGAGAGCCTAGAATACATGTACATGATATGATACACAAAAGTAGAAATATGCCACGATTAACAGCTGAAATGAGAGAAATAACCATTGGGATGGTGCAGATGGGGTCGACGTACAATGCTGTTTACTTGCCAACGCCATCGGATGCCACCGTATCACGGTAATAAGACTTATTCAGGGCTTCAGACCAGACTATGGTCACCGTAGACAGACCAAGAAGTGGACGTCCACGCATCACAACGCCAGCTGAAGATAGGTACCTCCGTCATTAAGGAAGGAGGGTAACGTTTCTTTGGCGTTTAAAGTATGGTGCAGAAGTATGGGGTTTTAAATTTTTTGATGATATAGAAAAGTCCATTTTGTATGTTTGTAAGAAGTGTCTTGGCATAAAACAACAAATAAAAACAACAACAAAACAAAACAACAACAAACAACCCCCAAACACCCCAAAAAACAACCAAGAAACAAAACCAACAATAAAGCAACGTCAAAATGTATGGTTTACGGAGAATGTGGAGGATATCCAATTCACATAGAATCAAACATAAAAATTATTAGATACTGATTAAAAATGATTAACAATGCCTTCATACAGATTGCCAAGAAATGTTATGATATGATGATACTATATGATAGCCATGGAAAACATGACTGGGTAACAGGCATAAGACACCTGTTATCATCTATCGGCTTCGGCAAAACCTGGCATGAACAATTTGTAGAATCTCATTCTCAATTTGTCTGTTCAGTTAAACAAAGACTTAAGGATATATTCTTTCAAAATTGGTCAACTAGTCTCTCATTATCTAATAAATGCTTTTACTACAAACATTCCATATATACAGAACATTATCTTTCAGTTTTGACCATAAGGAAATAAAATCGTCACTGGCGAGATTCTGCTGCTCTGCGCATGATTTATATATTGAAACTGGGAGATACCAAGGAATTAAGAAACAAAATAGAATCTGTCAAATATGCAACTTTAAATGATATCGATGATGAATTTCATTTTTATGTGTTTGCCCAGCATTACAAAATATTATGTATGTACATCCTGGCATGAATATTATAAGTACATCCTGAAATATCACTTTATGAATCATTCCAGTAAAAAAAAGATGTTATTCTCAGAAAGAATGTACTACTACCCACACAAAAATAATTATTGTACTACAGGCCTGTGGCCTTTCAGCATGAAATAAAGATTGAATTGAATAGATATAGGCCAACATGACATGATGTATTACCGTGGTCAAGGACCCGTGAGATCTGGGTCAGACTTGGTCTTTAACCAGCAAACCATGAGGCGACGAATGGGATAGAGCGTACAGGCTCGCTAACTTGGCTGACACATGTCATTGTATTCTAAAAAGGTAGATCGATGTTCATGACGTCAGATTGTCTGGTCCCGACTCGATTAATTACAGACGGCCGTCATATAACTGGAATATTGCTGAATGCGGCGTTAAACAACAATCAACAAACAAACACTTATGGAAGAAGGAAGAATTCACTTTACCTGTGCCCACAATGAAGATCGTGGGTTATTCATAAAGACCCATGCCTTTTGCCGAATTCTCTGCCACCTGGAAGATGAACAATACCGACTCTCGTCAACGTGCTCCAACGCCCCCTTCCTGTCTTTCTCCAGCTTCCTCAACGCCTCCAACGTCGTCGTCCACGAGCTGTAGTTTGTCCAGCAACACTCCTCAATCTCATCCTCCCCCACGCCCCAAAACGCCAGTTCAGTTTTCACTGACGCTCCACACAGCCAGGCAGGGAGGTGCAGCTCCCCCGTGCGAAGGTAGTTCAATATCGCCTTGAAAACATCAGGCTCACGGTCGAAGAAGTAATCATTCTTATCCTGCCTGTAATGCTTCTTCAGAAAGTCTTCATCCGCCAGCTTACTGAAAGGAAGGCCGCTGAGGGTGGATCCGTAGGTTTCAAACAGTGATCCACCCACATTAAAAATGAAAGTCTCGTTCGACGTGCCAGTGCTGACAGTGATCTTCTTGTTGGTTTTATTAATTCTGGCTCCGGGCAACAAACCATGAAGAACATGAGCCGAATCTTTCTCTCTCACTTTAAACATGGTGCATAAGTTGAGTAGACCGGAACCGTGAGGTAAGTTACTTAATGATATACACAGCACCTTGTGTCCTGGGTAAAGATGCCTTGTGACTTCAAGGATACAATGGAGTTGAGGAGTAGTTATAGCAGTCACGTGCTTCCGAGGAAAATGCTCGTCCTTTGTAAAATATTGAATCGGGGGATGGTTTTATATTGGGATGGGTGTGCTGTTGGTTGTGTCTTGGCCATGGCCTTGCGTTTTGAATCGGGGGATGGGGTTACAATGACCTTTTCATCTGATAAAGAAGAGAGGCTGTACAGGGGTGTCATTACATGTTCAGTGAGTCGTGTCCATTGTAAACAGAGTTACGAAAACGACTACGACACAATACAGCTCTTTCAATATGACTACGTGCATATAATTTTTCCAAAGGAACAGATTTCATCGCAACATTGGCTTTATATGTTGGACGTTTTATATTGGGATGGGTGTGTGGTTGGTTGTATCTTGGGTTAAAATCTGGTCCGGGCGTAAGTAAAATGTGCGCCCGGACGTAACGTAAACCGGTATGCACATATTAGACGTAGTTAAAGTTACGCCAGTCGTAGCGCTCTATATTTACGCCACCTACCCAGCAGGCGTAAGCCAGGCGTAGCCCTGTAGTGGAGGCACTGTATGCCGAGGTTTTTTTTCAGCCGCACATTTTCAAAAGGTTTGAAAAGTGAACGTAGTGCGAGAATTGCGCCCTTGTTGTCCTAGATCTGCGTACGGCTATTAAAGTACACAGAAATGTTGAATATTTAATTTCCTATCCGTTGGTATAAATATAAGTGCGACTACCTCGGCGGTTTTATAAATAGACACTGCTACATGTTGTCCAAAATTTTGTTACGCGGTAAAAAACTGTCAGTTTCTCAGCTTTTTGTCGTGCACCGATAAAAGCACTCTGCTACGATTTTTTTAATTTGGCATCTTTACAGAAAGTGTGAGCGAAGAAAATACAGCCTGATATCTGAACGACATAAGTGTATATGAATTGGGTTTATGTGCTAATGCATAACGTTACACGCTCAACATTAAAAATGACTTGCAATAAGTGTCAAAAATGGATTTTCTTCTATGACGTCAACCGACGACAGAGAGGTCATACACGTATAATGATAAGGGGGCATTACTCCGCTATGTTTAACACTAGGTCAATGTAACTCAGATCACTTGGAGAAAAGTTGTTGTGGATACGGACGCTAAATTGTCGTTATGCTGTGTTCACGGTGAACCAACCTATTCCATTACAAAGTTCCCCAATGTGAGCGGATCACAATGTTTCACAATCTATAAGAAAAAATGGCAATGATCTACTTGAGAAAGCAGAATAGCGATTTGGATGGCCCTATCCGATATGTAATTAAGTTAGTTCTTAGATTCCCATGTTCTCCTGTTTGTGTAGATGTAGTTTGACTAATTTTGCATCATTATTAACGGAGTACTAGCCATATCTTCAAATGTACTGAAATTACTGATAATAATACAACATTTTAGTTGACGTAATGACTTGTTTTATGCATTTTGCGACGTCGGAAAAAGACGACATTGGTTTGCTGATTAGTATATATCTTACCTAAATTCCATTAATTGTATTAAAGGTCTCGGCTTCTATGTCATAATTAAACTCTCTTTAGCAAAACATTACATGAATCATTTTACCAATTAAATAGTGTCCTGAATATATCAACAATTGGACGGTTTGACTGCGTATCTTATTGTGAGCAACACGCGCACCTGTTTGGCACCAATTTAACGTAAATGAAAAATAATATTTCACAACGCCCAAATATTTTGCAGTTATGGCTATGTGTGATCTTCTAATACTTGTGTAAAGGTTTAACATATGGTGTACTACACTAAATGTGTCAATTTCTTATGTAACTATTATTCAAACAATCAAAAACTTTCAAAGAATAAAAAACACCTACCCTTTATCCACGTATAATATGGTATTGAACAAGGCTAAATGTATATACTGAAATTAGTTTGATGAAAAAATATCTGAACGATATTCAAAATGTACCGTACATCATAATACTGAAAGTGTAATCAGAAGGATAGGGCGATTGTGTTTACTCTTGTTCAACCGACCTTCACCTCAAAGCAATTGCCTAACATGTACAACAATGTTGACGTATTACATCACTACCGCCGACCGATTTCTTATAAAGTGGCGGCCTCGCTGACAAGAGTACACAGGATTTTGCGAGGACCTTTCCCTTGATTCAGGGATCGTTTGTACATAAATATGATATGTAAGTAATCAGAATGATTCTGACTATATGTGTATTGTATATGTTTTATCGTTTTCATTGTAAGTAAGAGAAGAAGCCAGAAATGCTGATAATTACCTTTGTCGTTCTGCGTGATTTTGCGTCAGTCATGTCGTCACGCTGCACGGAAACTTTTACAATTTCTTATGAAATATCAAATCATTGCACTGTATCTGTTTTTAATTTCCCATTTCTTGCTACGATACTCTTTCCATGCATATTCTAAAGATATTGAGCTATTGCAAGCAATGAATAGACGGCTGAAAGCAGTGTAGGAAAGATAGCCCGTCCCAACGTCCGAGACGGGTGAATTTTGTGGAGGACGGGTTAAAAAAATATCTAGTCCGTCCTCATGTCGGGTCAATTTTAGCAAACCAATGACATATATATAATGATTACAACCTTTTTGAATATTTACTGCCGAAGGTGTTTCATTTATATTTGGAGGACAGGCTAGATTTTGGCAGGACTGGTAAAAAATTTGACCTGCCAGTCCTGTGGACAGGCTAGATTTTCTACATCTTTCCTACACTGCTGAAAGTCGGAAAATTTCAGAAAATGCTACGTAGTGTAAAATCGGAATTTTTCTTTCTTTACAAGCGCAGCCTTTCGAGCACAGCGTTCGTTTGGACTTTTCACACCCAATATCTTTCGTTTCATTTTATCACGACTGTTGATATTGGGGACAACGACCATTTGTAATTTGATTCTAAAATGTATGGGGAATTCAGTGATGCATTTGTCGCTGCTGAATATGATATATAGATTACGTGATGTAATTGGCGTCTCAATTCCGGCCTTCGCGAAACGTGATTTTGTAAACACTATAGATTCTATGACGGAAAGCGCACTTCGGCGTTTGTGTAAGTGTATTTTCAGAATTATCATTAGTGATTTCATGAAAACCTGATATCAGTGATCATTAATATGCTATTTTTGAAATTCAATACTTCTGAATAGTAATTATCCGATTTGAACATTTCAAAACATACACCAAATAAGGCTGTGAATCGTGATTTTGTAATGTGTCAAAAATGGTGACATTTATGATGAAGCCTATTTTGAAAGTCCATGTTATTTCTCCACCAGGATCCATCGGTAAAGTTGGGATTTCTCGGTTTTCTTTGGCTTTCCATGATTACGGCTGAAAGGGATGTACCGCGAAGTTGTTTCGCGCCTTTTACCGGTGGTTTAAAAACGTTCGAAAATCTAAAAATAGCACACTGCGCCTCGACGTAAATCCGTTAAGTCGGGCGTAGTAACGCCTAGGCTTAACCGACGTTGTGCATGACGTGTAAGAGGAGGGCGCTGCTAAGCCCGACGTAGTGTGCTACGCCTGACGTTAGCTACGCCCGACATGTGCATACGGCCACTGATGTGCAAAATGTGCTGCACTGATGGAGCAAAATGTTAACATTAAGGTTCAAGCCAGTTTTGGACAGTGAAGCAGTGTTCAGTAACGCAAGCTTCTACACGTCTTTGCATTGACCAAATGTGCCTTTAAAGTTGCAGTTGTGGAATGTTCTGCCATTCTTTCTGTAACGCTTGCTCAATGTCATCCAGAGTCTGGGTCGAACATGGAGACCGTAAACACGACTTCCAATAATGTCCCAAGCATGTTCAGTGGGATTAAGATCAAGTGACCCTGCAGGCCAGTCCATATGTGTGATATTGTTAATCTAAAAAACATCGTTAACAACTCTTTCTCAGGCATCAGCATCCATGAACGGGCATTATCATCCATAAAAATGAAGTTAGAACCCACTTGTTGTACCAGAGGAATGATTACAGGTAGGTTTACACCGATCAGGGTGCATGTGTGAAGAGTGGAGCACATTCATGCCACACATTTTGCATGTTGTTTCTGTGTAGGTTGTGTTCGGGTGATGTTGTCAATGTTATCAGATAAATCAATTTGACAGTCACTAAAGGTTATGTATTCTTTGAATATTTACCTTTCAGTAACATGTCGGCAAAAATCGCTATCGAGATTGATAAAGATATTACACTGAAAGTACTTGTTGCTTATTTTGTTGTGAGGAGAAAATATTACAGGAACATGGTGGACACCGTCTGGAAGTTTACTAACATTCAAGGAGAGAAAGTACAGATAAGGGAACAGGCGATGGAAAGATACAGACAGGACAGAAATTTGGGCACTCATCGGAATTCTACTGACATGTGGACATCTGAAACAAAACATGGTGGACACTAATGTTTTATGGGATAAAAAGTATATAGTTCCTATTGTGACCCCAACCCCTCCCACACCTCCACACCCCACAATTAAAAAATGAGTATATCTATTGTGAGAGGCACCATGTCTGAAACCAGTCTCTGATGAGTACATTGATGTTTGATGACAAGGAAACAAGAAGTTTCAGACGCGCAAAAGACAAATTGGCACCAATCAGAGATGTCTGGGATGAGTTTGAAAATGCTCTGAGAAATCATTATATTCCGGGTGAAAACCTCACTGTAGACGAGCAACTTGTACCGTTCCGTGGTCGATGTTCTCTCATCCAGTACATGCCAGCAAAACCAGACAAGGATTTTCTGGATTGTAGATTCTGACAACAGTTACCCCCAGAGGAATTCCATATCTTGAGAAAGAGGGTCGAACCGTCCAGGTTGGATTGGGTAAACAGATGACGCTGGATCTATGCAGTCCATCCTTTGGGTCCAGCCGAAAAATAACTGCTGACAACTTCTTCGCTGACTACAGTCTTGGACTAGGCCTGTTGTCAAATGAATTGACTATGGTTGGGGCAGTCCGTCAGAATCAGCGCTTCATGCCTCCAGAATTTCAAACAAAGAAAGGATGAGATGTCAACACATCAATCTT